GGGCACTTGGCACACGGTCTGCTGGCAACATGCAGAAGCTCATCTTGTGCCCTGTCAGCGAGCTGTTGTCACGTTCCTGTTGGCTCATAAAAGTAAGATTGAATTTTGAGCGGACGAGCGACAAACGGCAACTGGATCTAGGCAAAGGATATGCATAGATATGTATATATGTATGATATACATATATATGAATGTATATGCGGACTGAGGCCTTGCTCTGCCGGCTTTGCATGTCTAACCAGAAAGTTTACATGACTGCGGCGCTGTCTGCGCTTAATAGGCCAAATGAACTTGAACCTCGGCGACGATGGAGTCGACAAGCCGTCAGTTAGGGGCCAAATTGTTGCACACGCGTGCTGAAAGTTAACTTAAAAGGGAAAGTTTTTGATCCTGGCTCGGCAGCAGGAAGCTATTAACGCACGAGCACCAGAGAATCTGGCCTCTATATGATAATGTCTTCGCATGTGCCACATCACGGGGCAGGAAATTAAATTGATGCTTGTCATTGAACATTCTCGCATTTACAATTTTATTTTATAGTTTCATCAAGTTTTTCAGTTAAAGCAATGAAAATTTCAGTCTCAGTTAGAGAATTCACTTGAAATTAAATTTCATTGGGAAATTTCAAGCACCTACGTATACTAGCTATGTATAGATTGTTTTACTGTTAAAGTTAAACAGCAAATAATTCTGAGAAGTTTTGTAGTTGCCTAGTTTACGTTAGCCTCGGCTTACAAGCTTCTTAGCTCAGTCGTTCAGTTTCATTATATAGAACCCATTCAGCTTTCATTTCTGAATAATATTTTAATTGTATTTCCAAGCAAAAGTCGACTAGCAAATGCAGATAACAAACAATTGTTGACCTTGGCCCCTTGGCTATTTTCAGAAAGTCGACTAAGACTGCTCGAAATTGGCCACTTGGCTATTTTCAATTATTAGAGAGAGCAGCAAGTCCTTGAGTCGTTCATTAGAGCAAAGACGCCTGCTTAGCCGAGCCCCAGCGCCTAGCGTCTGTTATTGATCATATCAATTGACTTTAACTCAGTCAAATCAGAGCAAAGTGTTTGCCTCACAAATTTGTAGCATTCCTCGGCGCGCACACAAAAGTATTTGAAAGATGTGAGCAGAGCAAATAAATCATACTGCCAAAGGCAACTAAACAGCAACTCAATCGTCAAGTCGTTCTCGACGAAAACACGCAATGATAAATCGAAAATATTTTTAGTTGTTTACACAAAGCAGAGTCGAGCAACTGACGGAGCCGACGGCCAACCAACCGATGGCAAGAAAATCTGTCACACAGCACGAGCAGCAGCAGCAGCAGCAGCAGGTCGTCCTGTCCAGCCCCAATTGGAAAGCAACTTGAAATTCTCCAACCCCTCGACATCAAATCAGGATGGAGGCAGTCGCTTAATGAACGTGCAAACAGTCAAACAAACAGGAGATTATGCTGCCGTTGGCCAGAGCCAGAGCCAGAGCCAGGGCCAGGGCCAACTCACAGCCAGAACTGTTGGGTAAACATCTTGCGCGTCCTTGTCCACTTGTAGCAGTTCGACCCCATCCCCATCCTCATCCCAATCCCATCCCATCCCATGGCATGCCTTCCCATCCAGACGGCATTCAAGTGTTAATTGTGTGCGTGATTTAAGCTTTACACAGCGCCACGCTTACCAAGCCTATGCTGTCCGCCACGAATAATTGCTTTTTGATTGAGTTCAATGTACATGGGGCTTTGTCTGCCCGGCGAATGGGACTCGAATGCTCAAAAGCGCTTTGCTCATCGGCTGCGCCGCACTCCAGCAGCTCCCAAAAAAAAAAACACATAATGTTCTATCCGCAGGAGATGCCACATCCAAGGGCACGTCGGCCACTTTATGGGAATTACATCGATAAAACTGTGCCACCTCATCAGAAAGCCACTGGCTGCTGCAAGGATGGCAAGTTTGTTGGTCTGATGCTGCCCTATCTCAAGGAGTATTGTGCCAAATCCTCAGTGCATGGCTTTCGGTATTTGACGGATCCCAAATTGCGTACTTTTGAAAGGTGAGATGATATTATTCAACATTTGACGGCATGCAATAACAAATATAGTAAAGAAAAGAGGAACAAATTCAATTCTGGACGACTTGGCAATGCCCTGTAGGAGGTTTAGGGTGCAAAGATTGAATTGAATTTAGTGGATAGCTGAGTGCATAAAATAAATATTTTGTATCTATCTATATTTAGATTGATCAATAATTATTTAATTGTTGATTATTATTAAACATCATTCACTTTTCAACTCCTCAGATTCATTTGGCTGCTGATTTTGCTGGGCACCTTCATTTGTGCTACGATTGTCTATGTGGACCTGACGGAGCTGTACAACTCCGCGCGCGTGCACACGACTATCGAGGACAGTATGCAGCCGATATTCTTTGTGCCCTTCCCCTCTGTGGGTCTCTGTCCACGCAGTCGCATCAACTGGCCGAGATTGCTGAAGGAGACGCCGGAGGAGTTTTTGGGCAGCGATGCCAGCGCCGAGAAGAAGGAACTCTTCAGAAGCTTTTTCGCGGCCGCGTCTGGTGTGCACCTGAGAGATATGCACACTCTAGGAAGCTTCTTTGAGAATTCAAGTATCGCCGGACAGATACGACAGCTCGACGGACTGGATGTGGTGAAGGTATTGGAGGCGATGAATCTGAACTGCAATGACTTCTTTAAGAGCTGCACCTGGCGGGGCAAGCAGCACAACTGCTGCGAGATCTTTGAGCTGCAGCGCACCGAGTACGGCTTCTGCTGGGTATTCAATTCGGCAGTTAGTGCCGAGATGCAACAACGACAGGTGAGTGGCACACAGGAGGCTTAATGGCATGGCTGTTCTCTAGGTGTGTTGCTTTCAGCGGGAGGATAAGTATTATCCACGCCGCACAGCCCAATCTGGTCCGGGCACCGGCTTGGAGGTGTACCTCCAGTTGAACAAATCACTCACTAAGCCTGGCTTACGTGGCATCTACGTGATGGTCAAGCAGCCCCAGCAGTGGAGCGAGGCAGCTCGCCTAGTGCCACACGACTGCCACAATAGGATCAGCATGGTGCCGCGATACACAGGCTCCGATTCGAGAACTCGAACTCTCTCTGCAAAGGTCAGACGTTGCATCTTCCCCGACGAAATCCACGATCCACATTACAAGAACCTGCCGGGCTTCGTCTACTGGCGTGGCAACTGCCGATCCAAATGCCACCAGGAGCACGTGGTCAACCTCTGCAACTGCTCGCCCACTCTGCTCTTTCCCCGACATCAGAAGGGTGCGTAATATACTGTTATATTTCTAATTTATATATAACTAATTTATTTTTTAGATAATTTCTCTGAGTGCAAAGCCTCCGATTTCAAATGTCTGTATGAACATCGATGTAAGTAAATGTTTCTCCCAATAGTTTAACACCTTTCTGAATATTCCTTAAAGTGACTTTCAGTGTGGAGCGCCTTCCTCTGGAGCAGGAGTACGTGGACAATGTGTACAAGGATAGCATGACCTGTGACTGCCTGAACAGCTGTTCCCAGCTCATCTACGATACCATCCACAGCAGCAGCGCCATGGAGTAAGTCAGTATAGCTAGCAGACTCTCAATCTGGTCATAGCACTTCTATCCCATAGACCTCAGGAATTGTCTGCTGACACGATTAGCATGCATCTGGACATATTCTTTCAGTCATCCTGGTACATTAAGTACCAGACACATATGCGCTTTACCTTTGTGGAACTGCTTGGTGAGCTCTATTAAAGACTCTGTTAAAGTTTGGAAATCACTCTACTCAAATTACAGCCAGCTTTGGTGGCATTATTGGTCTGTTCCTTGGTGCCTCGCTCCTCAGCGCAATTGAGCTGATCTACTATGCTACGATTGGCCTATACTTGTATTTGCATCACTACAATCTGAAGTCCAAGCAGCAGCTTCGGGCACCAGAATCTCCAGTTCCCATAACGCTAAAATTTCGGCACAAAATCACACCCACAAAGATTGTTTATTAATATGGCAAATTAGTGAAAGGCAGCCATTGAGCATAGTTAACCCCATTTTTGCTATATTTCATATAAATATGATCAAATAAAAATGTAAAAATATAATTATAAATATCAACAAATCTCTGCTCATCCTATCAGAGACTTCAAAATATTTTCTGACTCACCTGCAACTTTTACAATATTTTCTTCAATCAAATTTGGTAAAAGCTTTCACTTGGAATATCATTATTATGGCCTGAGTATTAGATTATATTATATTTTATCCAAGAAGAAGGTGGCTTTGAGTAAATACAATAATTTTTTTATACGTAATATAAATAAATAACAAATAAAGTCTCTGCCTCAAAAACCCGTAACCTCATCGCTTATTACTCCGACCATATGTGGAGTCTTAAGTTCTTTAAAAGAACTTAAAACAACTTCAAAAACTTCAGTCGGAAATAAAACTTGCGAGCGTACTATACCGAGACTGGCTATTATGCTTGACTCAAGATTCAGAAGGGTTTTGGTCTCCATCAAACGCACAACAGGCAGCAAAAGCGTTTGAAAATGTACTTTTGGAAAAGTTGCGGAGAATACTTTCCGTTTATTAGTTGTATAATAAACATGATCCTTTATGATTTCAAGGCAAACTTTATGTTGTTTCGTCATATCCTAAAAGCCTTCTCGCAATAAATTAAAAATATTTTTTTATGAATTAAGATTTAAAAAAAAAAATCGTGAATTTTTCTAATTTATTAAGTATTAATGTTTATAAAATTATTTATTTTGTCTCTTAATTTGCTGCAATTTTGAATGTTGGCGCTATTTTCGATGGAACCATCGATACTATCGATATTATAAACCATCGGACTCACAAAAATCGATGGACGGTCCATCGATGGTTTTGCAGCACTGCAAAGCAATTCAAACAGCTGAGTTTTAACACTCGGCATTCACAGTAGTTGCAGCGTTGCCATATGATGAGCACAAAACAGCTGATTGCCGCGAAAGACACGAACCATGATAAGAAAATTAGTAAACAACTCGTTTGGTTTGGAAAATGATTTGAAAATTGTCGGCACGTTGTCGTACCTGTGGCAAGAATTTGTACAGTGTGAACGCGAAGAATTGATTCCAACAGCCCGATAACATTATGCTACATAATATTGCAGCATTAACTGGAATGTTTGTAAGCATCTAATTCGATTCAATACCAAGTGAAATTTTCATGTTTTTAATATTTAACCGACACATATATGTGGGCCCTGCGAAGTAGCATTCGAGAAGCGATCGTGTTTCGAAAACGCATTATAAAAACTCAGAAGGTGCTCTTGAGCAACAGCAATAACATTGAAGAAGCGTTTAAAAAAATCGACTCGGAAGATGTGGAAAATCTGGAGCTTGAGGAAGATGCCGAAGTCATACAACTGGAGACGACGCAGGAAATGACGCCATTCCACTTGCCCCAGCAATTTCAAGATGCATCTGTCTGCGCGAGAGTCCCTACCCATACTGTGGCCAGACATTTGGCGATCACAGCGGAAGGATTCAGCATGAGCATTAAGCACATCTACAATTGTGCCTTTCCGTCGCTTTTCGTGGAACGAACCCTTGTATTCCTGGACCACGTCGCAAGTGGACAAGCTCTTTACGCTGAATAGCATGTTGGCTGTCTCGGATATGTAAGGGGGGATTTGAAAAGCACAGAAAATTACCAATGTGTGCTGCTTGATGTATCCATTATAGGGCGACTTGCATTATCAGTCAGATCTGTAAGCATATGCAGAAGTTAGAGAATTTTGTAATCGACTGTGTTCTGTTGCCATGTCTAAGAAGCTTGGATATTAATTATAATGTCGATCCCAATTTTAAGTTGCTCCAGAGATTCACCCAGCTGCTTAGCACCATTTAAGCCTTAGGACGGAAGTTCCGATGGAGCACCGGGAGTATATTGCCCAACTGCGGGCCCTGGAACTATTGAACGTCTATCATTTTGTTAACTCCGTTAAACTTCAGTTGTCCAATTTGCGTGTCCTTAACAATCCCAATGAACTGCGCGTTGTGAAAGTGTTGGCGCGCACACACACACACACACACACACATATTTACTTGTTTACATTCCAATTCGTATTACATGGAATTGGAATTGACTTGGCAGCACTGGCAAACATTATTAGCAGCTGTTAATTGGCAATGCCTAATCGTGGCTAATACGACTATGACACGCTATCTGTGGTTTATTATTTAATAGAAAAGTCAACTACGATTTAAATAGTAATATTGGTTTTTGCGAGCTTACAAATGCTAACTTTTAAACATAAAGCGCCTTTCTGATAAACGAGTGGAAATTTACAGGGAAATTTGAGCAGTGTGGCAGCGCTGCTACCGGTCAGCTGTCCTCTGCAGCAAAATGTCTGGGGGTGGTCTTCGGTGCATTTAATACCTTTTTGTAACTTACTTTATACAACTATTCGCTTATACAAATATCTATAACTATTAAAATAAACACTGTGGCTAAGCAACTTTTGCCTTGCTTTTTGTTCAGCACAGAATGCATGAGGCGGGGATGATGATGACGGCGAGAGTGACGACTATGATTCTTCGGATTCCCACGATGAGGAAATTGAGAATCTTTTGGATGAAAACTTGCTCGACGATCTGCGGAGTCCAAGCGTACAAAGTACGAGCAGCGCTTCAAGATTATGCTGGAAGGTAAGTGGATAATAAAAATATAGATATAGATTCAGCTAATCCCATTTAATTTTGTACATATTGTTTTAGAGAGATGCTGCCCGAGGGCTGGGTACAGGTGACACATAATAGCGTCATGCCACTGTTTCTATATCGCAAGACGCGTGTCTGCTCAGCCTCGCGGCCATATTTTCTGGGCACGGGCAGTGCACGCAAGCATGCCGTGCCGTGCTGGGAACTATCTGTACGACGAAGCGGAGGCGAAACGCGCAGCTAGCGCAGACAACTCGACGAAGCCTTGTGCAGAGGACAGTAACAGTCACGAATTGTTCAGTGGCGCATGGCCATGTAGCCACCGAGCAGGATTTGGATGGCAAGGAGAAAAAAGACGCGACTGCTGCGGAGCCTAAAACTGATCATGCAGCCAGTGGAGCTGGAGCTCTCCAGTCGGAGATGTTAAAACTTAGTGCCACGCACCAGGGGACTCAAACCAAAGGCACCTTTGTGCCGCCCGGTTCCAATTTAAATAATGTCGAACTATAGTTTACATATATTACGGCCAATCATCATAATCGTCAATAGCTTATTCGATTATCTAACTTGCATGACAAACTTTTTTCAATGTGATCCATCGTAATACGAATAACACAAAAGAAACTGAAATATCTTGATTTTAGACGCAAGACGAACTACGTATACTCTTTTATAGTTGCGACCCTAATTAGTTTGATTCTAGATGATGTACTTAAATGAAATCTAGTCTTTAGAAAATTTTACATATGATACATTCCTGATATTGTTTTTAGATATACAACTGTAATTTACACTAATTTAATCTTCAAATAAAAAAGTAATGGTAAAATGAAGTTTTTGATATTCACTTGCAATTACAATCTTTTTGTAGACAAATATGACTTCACTTGAACTTTGAGAAAAATCCAACAAATCATATAAATAAGCTAAGAAAATATATATATTTGAAAAGATGAAATATGTTAACGGCCGTATAAAGATGAGACAACGGTTTGCAGGTGGTTTGCCCTGCAAATTCAAATCCATTTAAAAAATAACAAATTTGCCCTCTAAGTGTTTGTTAGTGTATATATGTGTGTGTGCCTGTTTGTATATTAATGTGTGCGTGCAATTATTTAAAAGACAATGTAGCCATAAATTATGCTACATTTTCATTTCATTCTAACGTTTCGTTTTTTATCGCATTCCTCGGACACACGCATACACAGACACACACACACATGTAAGCACGAGAGCACAAAGAATTGCGGCGAACTGAGACACGCGGAAGAGAATTCGCCGCACTGGGCAGCACTGTTCACTGCGCAGCAAAAGAGCGCGCAGCATCAACGAAATCCGAAAGAAATTTACCGTTGCTCCTTATGCCATCCATCGCCAGTTTCTTCAGTATTTGTTCGTTGCGCGTCGAGTGCTCAACTTGGCAGCTGACCGTCCCAGTGTGCAGTGCCGCCGCCGATTTCCGTATTAATTAAATCTCATTTAATTGAAAACAACACACATACACACAAAAACACACACACGCACGCACGCACAGTGCACTGCATCAGGTGCCAAAGACAAAATTGCGTCTTAACTGTCACCCAGCAGCCCATCCTAATCGCCGTCAAGTGTGCGAGTGAGACTTAAGTGTTGCCAGATTTTATAAGCAAAGCGGCATAATAGCCACCGTTACACGCGTTCGCTACAAATTTGCAAAAAAAAAAAAAAAAGTGGGTCTCCGTTAGGCAAAACGAAAGAAAAAAAATAAACGGGTATACATTTCGTTGCGGCTGCCGCTGCCCGCAGCCTATATAGTGTTGTTCCATGTATCATTGTGCACACACACATACACACACTCATGCATATGTATATAGAATAGTTTTGTGTTTATCGTAGAGTGTTCGCGCTGTTCGGCCTGCACCATTCCAAAAACAAAAACCTGTAAATTATGTAAAGACGCGTTTTTGGAATTTCAGTCAACTCAAACGTTCGCATCTAAATCAGCGACGACTATAACACACTAACAACACAGCGCTCGACAACAACAAGGACAACAACGTGAAAGGTAAGCGAAGCGCATCAGGCGCCAAGTGTCAGTCAAATGTTGGAAAATTCAATAATCCGCCAGAGGGCGCCAATACAGTTCCCTCACCCGTTGTTCGCCTCCAACACACACACTCACACACTCATACATACACACGCACACACACCCTTTGCAGCCAATAGCATATCAAATGTATTCGCTTTGCATTCGTTGTCGTCTGTTGCGTCGGCCAAAAACTAGGTTGACTTTGGTTTTCGCCTTGTTGCCAATTCGCGCATTTTCTGTTTTCTGGTTTCGATTTCACTTTCCAGTTAATTTAATCTAAATGCAAGTTCAACAATATGCCATGTCGACACAGTTTGCGGCTATTCTTTTAGCTAATTATTTGTGTATTTCATTAACCAATCGATGGTCCGAAACGTAATGATCGAGCTTACTGAACTAGACAAATAATCGAATATATTATAATAAATACTTAAGTTAATTAAAAAGAGAAAGTAAAATACAACTTCTTAATGCTGTGAGGAAGAATCCTCTGACTCTTCTCGTGTTCCTACCTTTCCCCCTAAACCTAATTATCTTTTATTGAACTTTAGTCGCTGCTTGGGGGATTTCTAAATTGAACTACAATCAAGTCGTTGGTATAGTGTAAGAGATAGATAGCATATCTTTCAATGCATATCTGTGATAATTTCTCGTTTCTGACAGCTCACGAGTGCAAATCAAGGTTACCATTCATGAACCTGATAAGATTTGTAAAATAAAAGCAGTTTTATAAATAGAAATCTGTACTTAACTATATAATCAATAAAGTGTCTGTGACTGACCGTAGGAATTCGCAGTGATTTATGTATTCTGTGGTCTATAGGAGTTCAATTGTGGATTAAGCTCTGCTTTGTTGGTTATTGTTGTAGTCCTCCTTTTGGTTATAAGCATGCTCTCTAGCACGCCGAAAGGTGCCTCCATAATAATATAGACAATGTAGGACAACAGTAAAACAAAGCCAAAGCCACTCCAGAAGAGTAACATCTGAAAAACAAAATATATTAAAGAGAATTCTTTGAGAGTAAAAGTCAACTTACCACATCGTAGTTGGAGAAAAATGTGCCCGTTCGCATGCGTCGACCATTGGCTTGCTGTATGAATATGTGAAATATGTAGGCAGAGTATGAGATCCTTGACAGCGGCTGCCACAGTGGGCAGGAGAGAAAACTATTGGCCAAGCCACCGTAGCCCCTCATGCAGGCAAAGACCACCCAGCACAAGCTGAGGGGCCAGGCCATGCGAGCTAGCGTGTAGTAAAAAGCCTCTTCCAGCATACTCAATGGCGGATTCAGCCAATCGGCAAATGGATATAGCACAAAGATGCAAGTGAATATCAAACCCAAGCTGATGATCCAACCCAGCCAGACCTCAATGCGATTCAGCTGAAAGTTCCTACTGCGATTCACATGCAGGAAGTAGCCAAAGAGTACGCCGATCAGCCAAGGAGCTGCGTGCACATGGGTGGCATAGTAGAGTTTCCGTTGAGCTTCGTCTGAAGTGACGCCAATTCTGTGGAGTTAACATTTACTATAAAGCAACTATATAGTGCAAAAGGTACTCACTCCATGTGAATGGGATATTGCTTGATCATCATTGTGCTGAAGAGGCAAGCGGAGAGCAGGAGCATTAGAACAAAGATTCCAGCTGCAGCTTTCTTACCCCACTTGTACAAGGAAAGCAGAAATATGGGAGAGAGTATATACAGCTGCATGTCCACGCCCAAATACCAGCTATGATTGATGCACTGCAAATGGAAATTGGATTAAAAAGGGTGTAAGGAAGGGTCAAATGAACCTACTAGGTCTGGCGTCGCATAGTTTTGTAAAAAGAGTAAAGTCCAGAACCAGGTTCTTTTACAATGATTATAGTCATCGAACTTAATGCTATCAAATAAAGGACCATCGCCCATAAATGGCAATAGAGTCATGTAGACGAGTATGGCCAGAGCAACAACTGGAGTGAGGCGCAAATAGCGATGAAGATACATCATAGGAATATTCAGTTTACCCTTTGATCTGCAATAGAAAATGTAAATGGTAATTGATGAATAGCTGTTGCCGGTGCGCTTCAAACTCACTTTTCGAGAGGACGCATCGATATCACGACCAGCAGGAGGCCACTAAGGAACAAGAATGTATCCACAGAGAAGCCAGCATGCAGCACAAAGCTTGTAAAGGGCTTCCCGAACCACTAAAAGGGCGAAATCAGAAGGATTGGGATGGGGTCACCTATATTCACTTTAAAGCAAATCAATAGGGTCTTACCCATTTCAATTGATATTGGTTGATATTTGGCGCCATCAAGGCGAACAGGTATTGGTGGCCAAAGAGCACCCAGATGAGTGACATGCAGCGCATGCCATTGAGACAATCGATAACATTTGGATTCGACCTGGGCTGGACGAGACGAAATAGCACACGGGAGTTGGCGCGTGCTGAGAAGATCTTAATCAAGGCGGACAGTTGGTCTGCAAGAGATTAAATGGATTAGACATAAATTCACGTGTTCTTGTCGAGATTGCTGCACTAGCATATACGCAAAACGAATATCGATTTATACTGCTCAAGCATGTGTGTATAATTCCCTCTATATTCTTACTGAACGTTTTTGAAACATATACGTATGCGTATAGAACGCACATACCCTGTACAAATAAGATTTGTTTTGGCAGTATGTTTTCTTTGCTCTCTTTCTCTCTCTCTATCTCCCTCCCCTTCTTTGTATTCTTCAAATATATAATTACGTGGGCTTTTTTTTTTCATCAAAAAGTCTTTCACAGAATTCCTCATTCAGTCTCATATTAGTATTCAGTCTAATATCATTATATACAGGGTATATAAAGAATATCTTGTTAATTGTGTGCTGTACTTACTTTGATCTTCACAGAAGAAATAATCGTATGCCGTTGTCAAAAGGACGGCAGCAAGCAATAGTGAGACTAAAACACTGTTAAATTTAAAAAAAATTGGAGTTTTGAATAGAACTTAAAACTATTTAGTTGACATACTCACATAGTAAATATAGTAAGACCATCGTATTCTATGCGCTCTTTAGTTCTGCAGGAGTCTTCGCTTATCAGAGCCTTTGTGGTTTTTATATTTAATAGTTTCTCGAGCAGTGGCTGCAGAAACTTATCCATGTGCGTTGAGTTGCAGGAGGCGGGAAAGCAAACGGCAGTCCTTAGTATAATGCCTCTGACGAAGGGCATGCCAGCAAGGCAATATTTTCCTTTTATAGCGTGGTTATCACTAATAGCCTTGTTAATCCCAATGCACTCATCATAGTTGCCCAAATCTATTTGGTTGCCATACAGCACACCCTTGGGGAATGTGCCCCATGCGTCGAACACTACAAAACAAGAGAAGTCAATTTGAATACTTTTAATTTGAGGTCTCTGTACCTACTCTTTAAGGCCCAAATATTTTTCGATCTAAGCGCACTCAGCAGCTGTGTCATATCTGACAAACAGTGTGAATCCTGCTGACTGCTGCTAGGTAAATCCAGGTCTTTTTCAGCTATATTCCTAAAGTGCTGTAAGAACTCCTTGGCAAGTGGACGTAATTCCATAAATTGATAGCCCTCCAGGGAATCGATTTCATCGAACTCCAACTGCAAGGAACTGGCCAAAGCCAGCCCAGCGAGCAACAGCATTGCCATTATTTCGACCATGTTAATGGTCGAATCGATTTCTGAGTATTGGGCCATTTTCCAGGCCAACAAGCATTATATATGCGCACAAATCCTAATACCATTTTGATAACAGTTCAGCTTCGTGGAAAATAAGCCTCCAACTAAACTCTGGCTGATAAATTTCGAGTACTTTGGTAACTGCTTATCAACGCGTGCAGCTCGCTTCATACATTTCAAAGTGTCATTACGATACCCAGTATTTGAACTTTGGGGGAAGTGTCTAACGATGATATTTATAGATTTCATGATATTCGTTAAATATAGATTTTCAGCTCTTCTTTCCTTAATTTTAGGCATGTTTATTATGAACAAGTAAGAAGACTCTAGTCGAGACTGCTCGACTAGGAGATACCCTGAACCCTCTAATCTGATATTCTAAACAGTCTGCACTTCTTTTCGACACACATACATACACACACACGTATTAGAATTAGTTTTGCTAACTGCGCTTGGGCTGCGCTGTAGTGTAGGTAACATTATAAGAATTTATTTGTTGAATAATTTAATTTCTAGACGTACAATCTTAATAAAAGTTTCAGGGCGTAATTATATGGTGAAAATGTATGTACATTCCAAAGCACATGTCTCTAGTACTTGAAATACGCCTTTTACAAAGGTGAGGGTGAGGGGGTGGATATAGGGGTGGGGGGTAAATTACAACAAAAATCGAAATTATATAAAATACATATAAGTCTACATTTAAAATTTGCAAGCTCTAGCTCTAAAGGTGTAGGAGATATAATTGAATAACTAGCTTTCGATAAGGTTTTTGATCGATAATAAAATATCGGGAGTAGTGATCGATATATAAAGAAAAACTTGATATGCGCGTGATATACACGGACCTAGGAAAAAAAATTTCAAGTCTCTAGCTCTTATATCTTCTGAAATCGACGCGTTCATACATACGGACGGACGGACGGACGGACGGACGGACGGACGGACGGACGGACAGACAGACGGACAGGGCCAAATCGACTTAGCTCGTCGCCCTGATCAAGAATATATATACTTTGTGGGGTCTGCCACGCCTCCTTCTGCCTGTTACATACTTTTAACAAAACCATTATACCCTGATTTCCCATTTTCAATGGGTTCAGGGTATAAAAATAAATGTTTATATTTATAATGATAAATAAATATTTATTTATTAAATAACATTTATCTTTTAATTATAAATTTTATATATATTTAAAAGTATACAGAGTTTCTTAAATTTGAGGTATGTCCAATTTTTACTCAATCTCTACAGCCATAAAAATAAGACCATTTCAACTCAATATGCGTTCTTATATTAGTTAACTTAAAAAGTGTTACTCCAAGTTTTAGTTCAGTGTACATAATTTCCCGGTTGATTATTCTCTATTCGCATTCACTCATTTTCATATCAATTAGTATTTAATCAGAAAGAGCAGTTAATCTAATCTAGACTCTACATTAAGCTTGTTGACATTTCTAATCACTACATTTGGCACTATATTAGTAGTAAATACCTTTGTATATCATCGAGCGTCTGGATAGATCAAACGTCCAAGTGGACTGACTCATTAGAAGTGCAATTTGACGGGTGTCTCACTTGGGAAAGTCGTACGAGTCATTAAGCAAATAAATACCATGTAGTACGTATTGGAAGATAACTTTAATCGATTACTTATTTAGAATAGGGGCCGCTTAGGGGCGTTTCAATAATAGCTTGACCTATAGATATGGCATTTGATAAGGCTACATTAGGAAGACTTCTCACTTATAATAAGTCTAATCAGTTAACTCTTAATCTTACTGATTAAGTGTTTGATTTTTTATATAAAGGACTTGTCTATAAACAACATTCTTTGGAACTATATCAAAGTAAAATCAAGTTTCTTTAACTCTTTTTTCTAAATTTGCTTCTAACATCTCTTCGGAGTGTTCTATCTCTTGTTATGTTCCCGCAAAGTTCTTGACCTCTCGGGTTGATTCATTTTTTGCTTCTTCAGTTGGTTTTGGACTAGTTCTGACCTTGGACAAAAGCATTGTCTGTAGCACAGCGACGGGCGCCTCCATTGTAATGTACATTGCATAAGACAACAGCAAGGTGAACACAAAGATCGCCCAAAACCTCAAAATCTGCCAAAGAATTACATGTTTGAATAATCGTATATTTACCAATTTGAAAATTTCTACTTACCACATCGTAGTCGGAGAAATATGTGTATGCTCGGACTCGTCAACCATTGATTTGCTGTATGAATACGTGAAAGATGTAGGCGGAATAGGATATCTTTGAGAGGGGTTGCCACAGTGGGCAGGAGAGAAAACTATTGGCCAAGCCACCATAGTCCTTCACGCAAACAAAGACCACCCAGCACAAGCAGAGGGGCCAGGCGATGCGGGTGAACGTATAGTAGGACGACTCCTTTAGTAGGGATAGAGCTGGCCTTCTCAGTTTGGCAGATGGATACAAGGCAAACACACAGGTGAATAGCAGAACCAGGGACGCAATCCAACCCATCCAGATCTCGATGCGATTCAGCTGAAACTTCTTGCTGCGATTCACATGTAGGAAATAGCCAAAGAGCACGCCGATCAGCCAAGGAGCTGCATGTGTATGAGTGGCATAGTAGATCTTGCGTTGCGCCTCATCAGAAAGTTTTCCATTTCTGTGAAAAGAAAACTAGATATAGTACGAAAAACTAAACTATTGGACAGCCAATGGACCTACTCCAGATAAATGTAGTACTTGTCGGTCATCATTGTGCAGAAGAGGCAAGCGGAGAGCAGGAGCATTAGAACAAAGATTCCAGCTGCAGCCTTCTTGCCCCATTTGTACAAGCATAGAAGAAATATGGGAGAGAGTATATATAGCTGCATGTCCACTGCCAAGTACCAAGTATGAATCAAGCACTATAAGTAGAGAAAAGTTTTTAGGATCAGACTTTCACTTTATATAGGCTTGGCTTACCAACTCCTTAGTGGCATAGTTTTGTAGGAAGAGCAAAGTCCAGAACCAGTTGCTCTCACAGTTTTCATAATTGTCAAAGTTGATGTCGCCAAACAGAGGACCGTCTCCCAGGTAGGGCAACAGTTTCATATTCATGAATATGGCCACTGCCACAATGGGAGCGAGGCGCAAATAGCGATGCAGATACATCATAGGAATGTTTAATTTGCCCTTGGATCTGCATAAGAAAGAAAGTTGATAGCTGATAAAATAAGATATTGATAGTGGGGGCTGCTGTAAACTCACTTTTCTAGGGCACGCATTGAGATCATGACCAATAGCAAGCCACTGAGAAACAAGAAAGTGTCCACAGCGAAAACAGCATGAAAAACAAAACTGGGAAAGGGTTTTCCCACCCACTGAAAGCAATCGAAATTCCATATTAATTCTGTTTGTATTCACAATATCAGAGTACTTACAGAAAACATTTTAATATAGTTCATGTTTGGAGACATAACGGCAATAATGTATTCATGTCCAAAGATGACCCAGAGCAGCGACATACAACGTATGCCATGCAAACAGTCGATGATATTGGGATTTGACTTTGGCTCCACCATTTTGAAAAGAGCGCGTGAATTGGCGCGTATGGAGAAAGCCTTGACAACAATTGTCAGTTTCTCTGTCGAAGCACTGATAATAGAACACTGTAAATACCAAATAAATATTGTCTTCTCTTGAAGCGTCATATTTATATTGTAAATATGGTTAGGCCATCGAAAGGTGCTCGATCTGAAGTCCTACACGAATCGTCGCTTATTAACTGAGTCTTCAGATCTAGGCCCAAAAGCCTTTGCAGTAGTTGCTTGAGGAATGCGCTTATATGGGCACCCGAGCAACTTGAGGGAAAGCAAACGCCAATTTCTATCTGTGCTGGAATGTTAAACGATTACGAAATGGGTAGCTTAGCGAGGCAGTATTTGCCCTGGATATTACGGCTGTCGGATATGGCTTTCATAATCCCGATGCACTCATCGTAGTTGCCCAAGTGTATTGCGTTTCCATAGAGTATTCCGTTCGGTATAGAGCCCCATGAATCGAGCACTACAAAATTATTACAAGCAATCAAAATAAGAAATTCGTCCCAATTTGGAATTTACATACTTTTTAGAGTCCACAATTTTCCAGAGGTTAATCCGCCCAGCAGCTGATTCATATCAGACAGACAGCGCAAATCCTGCTGGCTGGGCAGGCGTATGCTTGGTAAATCCAGGTCTGCTTCACTTATATTCTTAAAGTGTTGTGCAAACTCCATGGCAAGTGGGCGTAGTTCCATAATTCTTAGGTAACTCTCCATAGAGCTAAATTTCAGCTCCAAGGAATTGACCAAGCTCAGCCCGAACAGCAACAAAACTACAATTTTATTTACCATATCGATTGCCTTGTGGATTTCTGATTGACTAACGCAGTTTAGCTGCAGTCTTTTATATGCAGTAGTTCACATGTAAGATTAAGCATTTGATTCGAGTCCAGAGAGCATTACTTAGTGTCAAAATTGATTATGGACTATTATTACTATAGTTCACTTGAAATATTGATTGAAATAGAAAGCAATCAAAGTTAACTTTTCATTGTTAAATTTTCATATAAATAGATAGGATCCGCACTTTACATCATAAACATTTTTCCTTTACAAATAGTAATAAAAATAATAGCTAAAGTAAATATTACAGATTTGTAATAAGAGGTATATTTAATATATTTTTTATTTTGGAAATTCAGAACAATTATAAATATATGCATTTGAAATCTTTATTAGTATTTAAGTCCACATATTTAATGTTCTAAATATGTCATTTTAAAGCTACTACTAAGCTCTCAATATATTTATCGAATTGTCAGTCCGTCCATCTGTTGAAGCATATATCTACAATTCAAAATTCCCTCGTGCTGAAGCTCTTCAATGTCTTAGAAGTCTAAAGCATTGCATATGTAGTGTATAAGCTAGGATTATATGAGATTTCCATACGCTTAAGCGTGGTATCATTCGTATCCAGAGACAATGACAAGACAATATAATGTAGAATGCATACATATATATTTTAACAGCTTTGAGGTAATCCTATCTAACTTCAACATCAGACTGGATAAGTTGAAGTTAAAACCAGTTATCAAATTTCTTGAATAACTTTTTTAATAACATTTAGACAGATACAAAACTTGATTAACTAACATAGCTTATTAATAAGAGAACCAGTTTTTAGTCAAATGAAATTACATATATCATTATTAATTCTATTTGCATTAAAATAATATCGTATTTAACCTGAGTGCCTTAAGTCTGCCCTTAGCTAATTGTTGCCTTTTTCACTTACGATGCTGGCATCACTTTGGAGGCTGCAGCTGTTGACTTAACTTGTGCATTAACTGGGCTTTCAGGCTTTGGGCTTGGCTGCCTGTTGTACATAAGCATAATCTCTAGAACGACTATTGGTAGCTCTATGCTGATGTTAAGTTAGTTAAGTTACAGCCAGCCCAAAAGTAAAGCAACTGAACTAGGAAGAAATACAGATTTAACTATAGATGAAATAATCTAGTCTGTAATGAAAATGTCAACATAATAATGTCTATAGTTAGCTTTAACTGTGTGGAAGTGAATGATTAGATTATCGAAAAGAATTAATTAAAAGGATTTCCAATTACATTGATCATTTGGTTAACCTATCGAACGGCTTCCAATCGGTGGTTTTGCAGGTATTTTCCTTAATTACTTCTGCTGTGATATTAAGTCTCAATAACTTTTGTAGCAATTATTTCAGGAACTTGTTCTTATAAGTGGTCCAGCAGGAGGCGAGTAGGCAGCTTAGCTGAACTACTGATTAAAGGTATCTTCGCACGGCACTATTTGCCTTGGATATAATAGTTATACGATATTGCTTTATTAATGCCAATGTACTCATTGTGATTGCCCAAGTCCGCAAAGTTGCCCACAAGTATGCCCTTGGGTAAATTGCTCCATGCATGCAGCACTAGAAGCCAATTGAAGTTCTCCATCTCTGACTTACTTTTTATCGACTCCATTTTAGCAGAGTCAACTCAAGGAAAGGCACGGCCGATTTTGCTTGACTCTGCTATTTCCCGAGAATGCTGCGAGAATTCGTGGAAAAGCGAAATTATTTCTATAATTCGTTGATTCCAGATGTAAACAGCAGATTGTTTTTACCATGCTAAATGCGCTGCGATTTTGTGGTTGACAAAGTTTTAACAGTTGGAATCGTTCTTAAATACGACAAAAATGGGACAAAATAAAGCGATATGCGTGATGTAAGAGAGTTTCAATAAAGATACTGAAACCCATCGAGAAAATATCATATCAATTATTTATTTGTTTTCCCACATTCCTATCTGGTAGATTCTCGGTACTTGAAGGTATTTCATATAAAACTATTCTCAATGTATATGCAATGCTATAATTGTCTTGTTATGCTACTATATTTGAATGACAACAATGAAAATAAACTTGATAATTATATATGTTATATGATAACTAACAGCCTATCTATATTGAGTTACATTAGACATTTCATTAACATTATCTAAAATAATAAATAGTATTCGTAAGTACTATTAAGTCCTCAATACCTTCAAATACTTTTGTTTCTTGGAATCATCGCTAGACCTTAAATAAAATAAATACAGAGAAAACAATACAAGAACAAAACTCCTACCCCAAACCCCAAACTCAAACCCAATTTGAAAACCAAAACCAAAACCAATATCAAAAGATGCTTTCAATAGAATTTGTGCAAATGTAAATAGAAACGAGAGTCTGCAGAGCAGAAGACAAATTTAAAATAGGCTTTGCATATCCCTCGTTGACTAAGCCGATGAGCAAAGGCGCTCCTTCGATTGGCTCCGGCTCTGGCTCCGGTCTCAGGCGTAATATTATCACAGGCCGCGAAAATCAATAAACATTAATCTTGACGTGATTTCGCCTTTATCCAGCGCCATTTGCGTATTTGTCCGCCGCCGCTGCCGCTACTCCTGCTCATCCTCCTGCTCGTGCTACTGCTCCTGCTGTTGCCAGCTCGATGAAAGATTGAAATTTAATGGAAGCTGGCGGAGCACAGCTTAGTTGCCGCCTTGTCAATTATCAGTGTCAAGCGAGTCCGCTGTCGCGTTGTCATTGGATGACAAAATCTCGAGTAATTTCGCCAGTTGAAAGATGAGCCATAACTAATCTGGCCCACAATTATCAAACTGCTGCGTGCTGTATGCAAAGGATTTCAGCGAGTTCTGTTGACTTTCTCGAAGGCTGAGATCAATTTGTACAAGGTCGCAAAGTGCTAGCCAACTCCACTGGCTTAGGAGCTGAGCTCAACTTTTGAGAAACGAAATTGTTTAAGTTTTGCTTGGGATTGGGAAAACAATTATGGAACTTGAGCTCTTTAGCTCTTCCAAACTTCAACTGAGCAACTAAGCAAACAGCTCTGATTAGCTAAACATCAAATTTCAATATCAAATTTCAATTTTTGTTGCTTGTCGCCCAAATTTCCCTTAACCATTTTAATTTTGACCTTAATTCAAACTATTTACTTAGCTTTAAATATTCAACTATAACGCGCTTTGATGATGGCAATTCATTAGGGCATTCATGAAATGTTGTTCATCATTAGCATTTCACATGAACACATTGGTTAAGTGTCTTGGGCTAATTCACCGCAGATGCTTCAGGTAATTGGAGATGTCTCCCATGTGGAGCAGACGGCGCTGCAAGGCGCTTTGTTGTGTCACCTTCAACAATTTCATAATTAAACTTTTGCACAAAGGAGGTGGATGTTTACCTTAAAGAATTCTAATTAAATCATTGAAGAACTTTCGCAGGACTTTCTGCTGATTCATGTGTCCTGGCAGCTGCTACTTTTCCAAGCTGTGCCAAACTTTTCTGCCTCGAGCCGCAGAGCCTAAGGAATTTTGCTTGATTTGTATACCCTGTAAAATGTAAGCAAGGATGATCTACAAATATTTGTGCTCAACGGGTTTAGGTTTAAGATTGACTCCATCTGTTATCCCTGGGTTTGGTTTAAATCCTGATTATTGAAATAGGACTCTGTATTCTTGGTAAGGTCTCGAATTACACCACTTGGCAACTATTTGAGTCCATGAACAAATCTAGTCTATTTCGCGAACCTAACTCAAATGCCTTTTCCTAGCCTTTAGGGTAACTGCGAGCTAAGCAATCGAATTCAACTTTATCTTTTTTGTTTCTATTGCTTTTTCTTTATTTTTTCTCATTCAGAGATAGAAAGAGACAGACATCGAGAGTGTGTGTGTGAGAGTTGCTTTTGCGTCGACTAATTTGTGGTGTTTGCTATGGACTTTCGGCTTTCGCCGACGCTCTTTTGGCTTATGCAAAGCCCTACATGTGCCGCAGCTCGAGCCTGAGCCGCTGGGCGGTCGCCAGTGCGTCGGACTTTGGCTTGGAACGGATTGTGGTGCTCACAGTGGGCCACTAGGCGTATCAGTATTTCACGTCGCCACGCCATACACACACACACGCACACAAACACTCAGACACACACACATACAGATACCATGCAAGATTCATAGACTCATAAATCTTTAAGTATTGAATACCAGTTTTGCATATACTACATAAGTAAGAACTCACGCCGAAAACTTTATCCCGTCGTGCCTCCATTGCTCTCCA